ATGTGCCACAGTTGTTTTGATGAATGGAAGGCTTCAAGCTTTCCCTAAAGCCGCAAACCAACAAGGGTCTTCGTCTTCGAACCTTATGTACATTGAACCCTCAATCCCCAAGCCTCATAATGCCCTACATAATCCTGATTGTTTTTAAACTTATATCTATATATATATATATAAGCTTGATGAGACCCCTACCTATGTAGATATATACACGTACATACAATATACCTCTGTGGATTTTTTCATCTGCAATTTCATTTGTTTGTCACTCTTGCAAAGTCCCTGTGTAGCTCTTATAGAATCCTCAAAAGCCTTCAGCCCAAAAATCTTAGGCTCGAACTCTTCGCCCGCTTGTTCAAAGTCTTTCTTTGCTCATCTGGGTTTGGCATTGCCTTCGGCCTTGCCACGTCGCTGCTGCAGCCCGGCTCGGAATCTCTAGGGTTGCAGTAAGATGCAGCAAGCACCGTGAGGGTTTGGGGTCGGGGTAGGCTTGGGACTGTTGGCCTGGATTTGCATGGGATGAGGAACTGCGAGCCTGGTGTGGCAAAGCTTCAGGGACACAGCACACCAGATTCTTTTCGAAAAGAGTGTTGACAGGTTAACGCCAGTGCAGGCACAACCCTCGCTTTTCATCCGGCTGTATGTTCTTCAGGCTCGGCTGTGATTCGGTCCCCTTTGCGAGAGAAGCTTTGATTCCTACAAGCGCTCAGCATGCAAGCTGCGCCCTTGGAGCTCGGCAGGCGGACCGAACAATCTGACAAAGACCTGCCATAAACCCCGAAATCCCGAACTTTAAAGATCCTGGACGCTAGAATCTGCGCCCGGGACGGGACAGAGAACCCCGGAAAACCTCGACCCCACACCCGACTTCGGCTCAGAGCTTGTGAGTCCCGAGGTTCAAGCATGCCAGCCCCGGCTCGCTTGGTGCTGTCTGACCCTTCGGGGTTTTTGGGTGCAGCGTTTCTCAGCTACTTCGGTGTCTCTCTTGGTTTAAGAAGTGATGCTCTTCATGCCAGGTTGCCCGGGTCTTTGAAATGTGTCTCTGGTGCCACAAGGCTTTAAACCTACCCGTAAAGCTGCTCTTCCTATGACAGGCGAAGCCCTTGCACAAGGAGGTCATGAAGCCTGTGGTGCTACTGTTCGGCTGCAACTACGCTTGCTGCTTGGTCTTTCTGGATTCCCATTCGATTCCTTCATCGTTCGCCGTCTGGTGGTCCAAGATCTGAAGCCTGAGGCACGATCAGGTAGCCTTGGCATTAGGCATGAGAGGCACATAGAATCATAGAAGCACTTCAGCAAGGAGCTCGAATCTTGAATAAGCGTGGCTGCAATGACTATTGGTAGCACATGAAACTGGGATGCTGGTGGTCTGATCTGTGCAGGATGCCGCAGCAAAAGCAACAAGCACAACCTCCAACCTCACAACCCACACCTGTAACAGCGACAAGCACACCAACGGCCAGGACCACAACCAGTAACCACGACAGCCACAACCACATCAACAACGAGAGCCACAACCACAACCACAAGCCGAGCACAAGCGCAACAGCGACCAAGGCAACCAGCCTAACAGCGACCACAACAGGAAACACATTAGCATCATCACGCCCCATTTGATGGCCGCCGTTAAACGACATAAGCCGACGCTGCTTGATCCAAGCTTGCCTGCAGAGAGACGCTTGGATCGTTTAGCTGTATCGCTTACTCGTATGGGACCACCTGCCCTGCGATCAGGATGCGAAGGGATGTCATCCGCATCGGAACAACTCTCATCATGACATGCGTTAGTGGGAAATGCAAGGGTTGTATAGCTATCACAAGCAGTCATGCGAGAGGTGACATGACTGTAGAATAAATGTAGATGTTTCAAGTGCTACTGGTTCCCTGAACAGGACGGCCATGATTAGAGAGGAAGTAAGACGGTGCGCGTGCAAATTGCGGGAAGCGTAGTCTGGGTGCGCTACGGAAGTATATAGTCTCACTTGTTACTGGCTCCCGACCTTCAGATAGCTGAAACCCATTGAAGTTCTGAAGGATGGTTAGCACCTGGGGATAGGCTGGTGAGCATCTGGGGCCAAGGAATCTTCAGCGCTCTGTTTCGTGGAGACCTGCTGTTTGTACAAAGCACCGTGGCTGCGATGCTCAGGGGTGCGACGTTGTATGTATGACAGACAGAAGTCTATGTATGATTGGCTTCTTTGGATTTTAGCTGCTGGGGACTCGAAGGCCACCCAAAGTTGTTTTCAACCACAATCAATCACCGACGTTTTCGGGTCCCCCGTGGCACTCGGAGTTAGACCAAGGCCCGCATCAGCCCTTCTGCAGTCAGCAGTGATTCTAGTGGTGTGCTGCCGGTCTTCTGGTGAATACAGAAGGATTGATCATGATGAGTTGATGATGGTGAGATTGTGAGCCTGCAGCGATTGCCAAATTCTGTTTGAAGTTTCCCGCGCAGTTTCCCGTGGCCTCAAGGTGCAGCATCCTGCTTCGATTGGCAGCAGGCGCGGGGCAGGGCGGGAGCTCACTGCCAAGCCAACCCCCCAAACTATCGCAACTTCAACAATCACGGAGACCAAGTGCGTTCACAGCTGAAGAAATTTGGCAGTGCTTGCCGAATCTTGAGTTCTCATCGATTCACAGGGCATGTTTCCGCGTGTCCCGAAATCTAAGCCCTGTCAAACGAGGGTCTTCAGGCGTCATGTTGCGCACATTTGGCATCAGTATGAACTGTTGAGGAAGGGCCAAACGGGAGAAAGGGCTGAAATCGCAGAGGATGAGGCAGACGGAGGGTGTGCCATGAGCACATTGAATACAAGTTCAGATGTTGCAGGACACGGCATACGAGCTGGAAAATGATCTGATGTGTGAGCTGACATATTATCAATCACGCAATCTGTGGAAGTTCTGCCTAACATAGGGGCTAACATCTAAGCTAAGAGACGGCATGTCCCACAAAGCGCCAAATGGACTGGCGAATGAATTCACTACGAGACATTGCCTGGCACACCTCTGAGCCCCGAGCCTTAAAAGCACCCGAACCCCTGTTTTGATGATCAGGTGAGCTTAAAGTATGGCACCACCCTCCAGGCAGCCTGGTGGTCGTGGGACTATCGGGGGAAGCACAGCTCAGGTGTCGAGGTTGAGGAAATTGGTTAAACTGAGACACGTATGTATAAACAAACACTCCCTAAATGCGCCCGGCAAGTTCCCGTTGTGAGCCATTTCAGGAACAGGAGCATATGCTAGGCATTGTCTAGGGGGCTATCTATGTGCATCGGATTCAGTACGATCTCGATGGGCGCAAGCAACACACGGGAAACAATCTTGCGGGTGCAGGTGCCATAAAGATTAAAAGAGTATTTTGGAACAGTTCAGGTCGATATTTTTTTGCTGAGAAGCCATCCGTTCTCTCAATCTGCTCTTACCCGACACCCGCTCTTACCCGACACCCGGACCTTCTGCTATTTTGATTTTTGCCAATGTCCCTCCCGAACCAACGACCCTGTAGATGTTCAGACGTGCTAGCCCGTGTGTCATAATAATCGAAGCCATGGAGCTTTGGGCTGCTATCCTTAACATCCGAGTCGAGAAGGTGGTGTCAGACTTTCCGGAGTCTTCCAGATTGGATGGCTAGTACATAAATTTATGTAGACATCTGCAATGGGAACAAGCTTCAATGCTTGCCGCCGCAAGCATGTTCGTGCATTTGGAAGGTTACTCCTGCGTCAAGATGGGCAGCTACTGCAACCACCACCACTACCATTACCATTACCATTGCCATTACCACTACCACTAGCACTACCACTACCACTACCACTACCACTACCACTACCACTACCACTACCACTACCACTACCACTACCACTACCACGACCAAGACCACGACCACTACCACTACCACTACCACTACGACGAGTACTTCTCTGATGCCGACCAAAGCAACAGCGACGATGACTCCCGCTCCCAAAAACCTCAGAAAACTGCGACTATGGATGGTGCGGCGCTTTCGCTCGTGTTACCAGACTCCCCACGTCTAGCGTCGTTGCGGGAAGCTGCACAGGTACGTTTCTACTTGCCCTTGCGACTGTTGCTTACAACTTTTCGGTTTTGCATCCAGAACTTACCGGCAGGAATTTGACATCTACTGGGCCTCAGTCCACAATGCTCTGGCCTTGGTGGTTCGCTTGTCCAGTCTTTTTGCACATGAAGGTTGGGGGACGTAGGACTTGTGCTCGAAAAGGGTCGTAGGGCTGAAAGTGAAATACATCGTCTTCGCAAATGTCTGCTACAAAGCCGAACTTCTGTTCATGGCATAGTCTTGCAAGTAGCATGCAATCTACTGCAGTGTGCACCATGCTAAGTTGCACAGCTCTACTGGCTATATTCTGTCTTGCCTTTATCACAAGAAACTGTATGACTGATGATATGCCCTGAACCCTCTACGTCGTAACCCGAAAGCCTAAATCTTAGTCTTTCATCTCTGTGCCTATAACAGTTTGAAAGGCGAGCTATTCCTTTCAGTTAACGAGGCAGCTGTCCTCTGCCTGGGGGGTGATTGTTGGTGCCGTCGCTGATATGTTGACGAGTTGTGCTTGCTCATGGTACTATGTGTTTTCTATGATTATTGTCATTCTGGTGCTGTACTTCTGAGGTTTTGGGTGTCGGGGACTGTTTGCTCCTAGTCTTTTCACAACCTAAACCCTGAACCTATTTCACCCACTGCACACCGTCAACGCTAACCGCTGACCCTTCACCCAAACCCTTATAAGTCCTAAATCCCAAAGCCCTTGTGAAGCCACCCGAACCTTTATGAATCCTAAATCCCAAAGCCCTTGTGAAGCTTAAGGTGCGGCCGCTCTTTAACCCAGAGAACGCGGTGAAGAGACTAAAGGACGGGCAGGTGGGGTGCAGAGTCTAGGGCTCGGGGTTTGATTGATGGTTTGGCGGGGGGGGGGGGGGGGGNNGGGTTTACGGTTTAGGGTTTGGGGGGGGGTGGCTGGTCGAGGTGCGCTCTGGCACAAGCCGTTTCTGAAGCTCCAAGTTGGGCTTGTAGGGTGCATAGGGGTGTATGTAGTTAATGTAGTTGTGGGGTTTTAGGGTTTCGCAGCTTAGGGATTTCTAGGCTTGGGGTTCAGGGTTTAGGGT